TTATCTAGTTTTTACGAATGTAAACAAATCAAAATGTCTAGAACAAAATTCCTACATTATTTGACAAAACGCAAAAAAATCACCGGAATCTATAATTTTGCTATCACCACTTTTTGACTAAACTATTCGTGGGAAAAAATATATAAAAATTCTGTAAATGCCAATTTGTGATAAATTTTATGCAAATTCTAATTGTATAAATTAAAAAAATGTTTTGGAAGTTTTGGAAAAATACATAGTAAAAACTACAACAAGTACAAAAACTTACTTAAAATTGTTCATAACTTGTTGTTTTACATTTTCAGATTCAAAATTTTAATTTTTATTAAAATATAATATTATATTATTTATTTATAATATAATATTATATTATATTAGTTTTTACTTAATTATTCATACTACAATTTACAATATTTAATAACAATTACTATTTATCACAATTTACCCGAAATTTTGTCATCAAAACATCAATCACGACTACAAATACCCTTCCTTGCAAATTTTATATGTATTAAAATAAAGTATTAGATTTTTATATGTATATACAAATACACTTGTCGATAAGTGTATTATCTGTCTATTTATATAACAAATAAAATTATCGATAATACCGATAACATTAACAGTTATTATTTATGTATTCGATAACAATTTTTCCTCATAGTCTAAACATGTGACGCATTAAAAATGTATTTGAGTATTTAAAATCCGAGATAATATAAATTGTAAATAGATTATATATATATATATATATATATATATATATAAAACAAAAAAGTTTTTTAAATAAACTATTTCTTTATTTATCTATTTATTTACTGTCGACGTTTCGGAACTAAGTACGTTCCATCTTCAGGACATCTGTCAAGAAACATGATCTTGTTAAGATTTAAGCAAACAATATGTTTAAGAAAAGAAAATGGATTTTTCTTAAATAATAAATTAATTGAAAAAATAATAATGTACAGAAATATGATAATATAATAAGAATGAAAATGATATAAAATAAATGAGTGGATTATATAACAGGATATTAAAAATGATAAACATTTTTTTTATAAGTTATGGAAAATTTTAAGAAAAGGTTAATGATAAAATTGAATTAATTACCTGTATGTTTGAATATACGTTAGCACTTTTTCACTAACAAAAATAAGATTTTAACAAAAATTGAATTTATGAGTTATTTTTCAGCCAAATAGGTAAATTTTGTAAATCAAAATTACTATAAGTTTTGTCTTCTGTCTAAGCACCATGTATAGGTAGAAAAAAGGTAAAGGTAAAGCACCATATATATGTAAATATAAAAATCTCTACATTAATAAAATTTCATAATAAAATATAGAAATAAAACTTAGAACGTGATGCTGAAAAACAAAACACTTCATTAGGAATTTTATTAAATGTTGATTATTTTTTTATAATTTTTGTATAATTTAAAATAGCTTCAGAAAATCTTTGCTTTAATGAAGTTTGAAGATAAATTACGAAAATTACATCTTAAATAAATAAATAAGAATTATTCTTATTATGGCAAACTAGAATTGTGACCTGTATTTTGTATTTTGAGAAATATTTTCCCAAAGATATAACTTGCCTTACATCAAATAATAGCGAAACTTTATTATGCTAAGTTTTCAATTTAATATTTTTCGTGAAAAAATACATTGCCAAGAATACCTTATTAAATCGATTTCGAGCAAAACCTATATATATATATATATATATATATATATACAGGGCCGGTCCTGGGGTCCTCAGCGCCCTCATGCAAGATTTGTTCTAGCGCCCCGCCCCCCCAATAATTTTGACTGTTTTAACAGTTTTTCATTAAAATTATATAAACATTTCTGTTAAGTTTTTTAATTAATTTTCATTAATAATTCAAATCCAGTCATTCTGGATTTAGTATACAAAAAATTAAATATGATCTAAAAGCGCATAGAATACATTGATTTTAAATTTATTTAGAAAATCGCGACGATTCGCGGGTTGATCATAATCAAATATTTTTTAACGTATGGGTAATATTAATATTTAGGCTTTGAAACACTTAACTTATTTATTCCGCGATTTATTCTATAAAGCAAATCACGCTAATAGAGCAAAAAAAACTAGTCTTTGATTTTTAAACATAACACTCGAATTTCAAGTTTTAAATTAAATTTTATTTTAATTTATTATTTCACTATTTACAATATCCAAAATTGCATCGTAAACTTCTAATTATTGGTATTGTAAGAGCCGAATTGTATCCAGCTTTACTTTCCCATCAGATTCAAAGTATCAGATTGTTGTTTTAGTAGAGTAAAACTTAATTTAAACTTATTTCTAAAGTATTGTCCAAAGATTAGTAAAAGATGCAAAGAAATTACATATTTCCTCAACTATACTGAAACAAACAAATTATATTTGTATACGTATTATTGCAGTAAATCAGTTCGCCTTTTTTCTCCAATAAAACCCAATAATTAATTTAAACTTACATAGGTTTGCTCTTACGGGATTGAATACTAAATAATTTCTTTTTCGATTCCACGCTAACTTCAAATGAAGAGAAAAAATTAAAAAGTACATTAAACAATAAGCAGAACAATAATTCACAAATTTATTATTTATTAATAATATTATTAATTATTTATTTGAGTTATTATTTGGTTAATTGTTTCTATTGATATCACATTGCAAATTGAATATGCCTTCTGTATCTCATAGTTAAGTTGGACTGTTCATTATAATCTATTAAGTATTCTAGATTTTATATTTAAAAAATATATAGATAATATATTATAAATTTCATTTCCGAACCTCGTTTTGCCGCCCCCTAAGGCGTGCGCCCGCATTTTTTGCATGCATTGCATTCAAGGTAGGACCGGCCCTGTATATATATATATATATATATATATATATATATATATATATATATGTATATATATATACAATAAAATGGCGTAAATGTTGGTCTCATATTGGAAAATGTTAGAAAAAACAATATGGGTTCAATATAGGGAACCAATATTGTCCTCACACAAAAATCAATATTGTACCACGATTCAAATAGATTTATAATTTTTTAAACTAAATAATATATATATATATATATATATATATATATAAATTTATTATCCCATCCATTAAATTTATCTAATCCTACGCTCTCCCCACCAACTTCGCTCCATTCACTCACCTCTGTCATGTTGTCCCATCTGCCTCATGGTCTTTTAGTACGATCTGTCACTTTCGTCAGACATAACCTCAATTTCGTGGAACGCACACACATTTTTAAAACAGATTTTTGTACAAGTATTATAGATTTAAAACGTTATCATCGCAAGTCGTTAATACGGATAAAGATTATTAATATTAGTGTTGTGTAATATGATTTAGATAAATAATTGTAGTTGAATTTGGGAATTTAGAGGTGTTGGGAGAATCGTCCATGGATTTTTAGGTTAGTATAATTGCAAATTGTTTTGTACCAAATATAGTAATGAATTTATTTCACAAATATTCTTATTTATTATGTACATGCATTATTTCAAGGTATTCTTTTTTTTTTTTTTGAAGAAGTGCAAAGTTCTTAGATTTTTATTGTGCAATTTTATGATACTTTTATTAATAGATTTTATGCGATTTATCTCGACGACTTGATAAATATTTTATCGTTTAATTAATATATTGATGTTGTTTATTATGTAATATTTTTGTGAATTTTGTTGGTTTTAAAACGTGTAAATTGCTTCTGCGAATTAGCAATTTTTATTATTTTTTTATAATAATCTATTTATAGGTTTTGTTGTGCGATTTTATTTTAATTTTTTTTATAATACATAGGCATATATATTTGGAGTTTGAGTTTATTTTTTTAATTTTATAAACAAACAAAAAACTGCGTTTATAAAATTATTTACAATAGAAGCACCTAATATTATTATAATTTTTAAATTTTAATATTAGGATGATATGTTAATAATTAAAACAAAAAATATTTGTTTTTTAAACTATTTAATACTAATTATTTGAAGAAAAAGTTTTGGTTTGAAAAGTTATGATGAAATATGAATTAGTCTTGCTAAAGATTTTTTCGTATTTATTTATACTTTATTCTCAATATATTATTTTAATTATTATTTAAATTACTCTTATTTAAATTTCTATATATAAATTTTATTTATTTTATATATATATATATATATATATACGTATATATATATATATATATATATATATGTATATATATATATATATATTTAGAAGTTTTGTTCATATGTTAAGAAATTTCATCAGCTTGGCATAATTATATAATTATATGTGTATATATATATATATATATATATATATATATCTATGTATATATCAAGACAATTAAATAATTTACTTATATAAAATATGTATCTTAATGCAACATATTACCTGAATTTATGAAAAGAAGTCTAGTTTTCGGGTCTAAAATTTATGAAAAAATATAAAATAGTTCTTGCAATATATTTTTTTGTTGTTAAAGCTGCCTAATTACTGCCTAATTTTTAATTTTTATTATTACGAAATTGTAAAAGCGCCCAGTAAAGTTACATTCTGAACGATCTTGCAAATATATTTGTACTAGGTTGTAACTTAGACTGTGACCTAGTGACTTTTTTAACCGGGTTGTAACATAGACCGTGACGATCTTTTTTAATTTATTTTTTTTTCAATAATTTAGGTGTTTAATCAAGTCACATTCTGAGCAACCTTGCAAATATATTTGTACTAGATTGTAACTTAGACAGTGACCTAGTGACTTTTATTTACTGGGTTGTAACTTAGACCGTGACGATCTTTTTTTATTAATTTCTTTCAATAATTTTCTTTCACAAAATAGGAAGTGTTTAATCAAGTCACATTCTAAACGACCTTGCAAATATATTTGTACTAGGTTGTAACTTAGACTGTGACCTAGTACTTTTTTTTACTGAATGTGACGATCTTTTTTAATTTATTTTTTTCAATAATTTTCTTTCACAAAATAGGAAGGTGTTTAATCAAGTCACATTCTAAACGGCCTTGCAAATATATTTTTTACTAGGTTGTAACTTAGACTATGACCTAGCGACTTTTTTTTACTAAGTTTTAACTTAGGCTGTGACATTTTTTTTAATTTATTTTTTCACAAAATTGGAAAGTGCTTAATCAAATCACATTCTGAACGACCTTGCAAATATATTTGTACTAAGTTGTAACTTAGGCAGCGCTTAGACGGCCTTTTGTTTTTTGAATTGAAAAAAAAAACTCGATAAAGTCACATTCTAAACGTTTTTAGACATAAATTATTATTAGATAGCTTGTTTTTATTTTTTTCACTATTTTTTTTTACAAAATTCAAAAATGCTGTATAACTTTTTTTAAAAAAATTACCGATTGTTATTGATAAGAAGAATTGTGCATTCATATAAATAAAAAAAATTGAAAAAATATTCATTATTCTCATAGCATTTCCAAAAAAAAATTCTGACCCTAACATATCTTACACGAAATTTTTAAAGTGACATTCTAAACGCCCTTGCAAATATAATTATGCCACGATGTAAATTAGACTGTGTCTGCAAGTATATTTTTTATCGTTTTCAATAATTTTTTCACAAAATTGGAACTGTCACAGTCTAAATACTATTGTTAATATATTTGTTAGAAATTAACACACGGACTCGTAAATTGTCTATTAATTTTAGAAAAAAAAGTTCTTTAGCGTTACAAGTACCTTCTTGAAAGAAAAAAAAATAATAAGATAATAAAATAAGAAAAAAAAGGTTCGATGATGAAATTTGAAATTTTATTATTAAAAATCCGAGAATTATATGTATATATATATAAATATATAAATAAATATATATGTACTCGTCTATATATATATTAGTTTGTCAAATATTTCCCTTCCGCTTTTTTGCTCTTGGTTATAATACAAAAAGGCGGAAGAGATATTTGACAACCTTATATATATATATATATATATATATATATATATATATATATATAAATACAAATTTTAACTGTATTAATCTTTATTTTTTCAGAGATTTTTTTTTATAATCAAGTGATAGTATTATCAAAAGATGACTTCTTCCGAAAGTGTTAGTTCAGAGGAAAATGTGGTCCGATATCGAAGGGCTCAAAGTACAACCAGGGCCGAAGAGATAACAAAAAACGAACAGAAAGTCAGATGGGCCCAGCCTGATAAACCGTAAGTTGATAATAATAAAAAATAACAAAAAAATAACATACATATTTTGACGGTACTAAGTCCAACTTTAGTGTAGATAGTGAAAAATAACATTTTGAATACGAAATTAGTTAGAATCTAATGAGGTTGAGAAAGACACATTTTTCTAATTGGATTTTTGCTGTTCCAATAAGATTTTCCTTTGCTTGTTTTTTTACATGTAATTTTTTTGAGAAAAATTACTTTATATTAAGTTTCGATAATTTGAAATCAGTTTATTACATCATTGTTTGAAATATTATATTAAACTGCAATTAGTTTGATATAATATTCTAAAAAAAGTTGGCTATTCTGATAAAATAAAACTATTTCAAGTATTCATATATTTCAAATTATCAACTTATTTTCGAATTCAATTTATTCCAAACAAATGTTAACAATAATTATCGTAACAACATAAAAAATATGCAAATGAATCTTAATTACATATTTTGTATTTATATATTTATTGCATATGCAAATATTCTGCATAATTCATTATCAATTAAAATAACTAATTAGATTCATGCATGAATTTAAATGTACCGATCGTAATTTTCGAATTTGCATTGTTTGAATTTTTTACAAACTTGTTTTCATTTGTCTAATTAGTCTCATTAAAATAGTAAATGAAATTCAATCAAAAATTAATTTTTGTTTGATATATATTTTGTTCGTCAATCTCAGATTTATAAAATTGTTTGTCAATAGTTTTGCTGATAAAATGAATTTTGTTTTAATAAATTAAAATTTTGGCGCAAGAATTTTAGTGTATGGTTATATGTATTTTTTATGTAAAGAATTAATTTATATTTCCACTTAAATGTGATTCAGACGTTTTTTTTTAATGAGATCACTTCAATTGTACTTTGATCTCAAAAGATTCGTCATTCCAATAAAATACTAATTAGAATTAGAAAGTTGACGAAAATAAAATTTTGCACATTGTAACAGATATAAAAAAAATTTTATATATATTTTTTTATAATTATCAACATTATACAATATTCTCATTAGAAAACGATGAAACTTTGTTAGTCATTAAATTATTATTTTTTATCTAATGGATAAAAAATAATAATTTAAGTTTAAATAATAATTTAGTTTGTAGTTTCTAATAGATGTGAGTTTTTTTTAAAAAAAAAAATATGTTAATAAAATATAATAATTATCTAGTAACATTTTATAATATCTTTAACAAATTTTCCAATTTCATATATATTTTTCAATACAAATTAAAATATACTTGTTCGGTTATACTCAATCAAAATAGAAGCAATTGAATCGGACTTCATATGCAAATTTGAGAATTGATCTTTTTTTAAAAAACGCATTTAAAATAAATAAATTTGTTTTGCATTTTGTATGATTCTAAATAATTTCTGTTGAAATGTTGTAAATTAGACTAGTCTTATTAGATTTTAATGAGTAATTTAATTTTAACAAATATATATATATATATATATATATATATATATATATATATCGCCTTGACTACTTCAACTACGTGAAATTTCTCATAGTAATTGTTGTTGATGTTTTTACAGATAAGTCGACCTTGTATATCAAAAGTTGCATTTCATCGTTCGATTAATCGTACATCATTGTGTAACCGTATGAAAATATAGTGCTGAAAATAAATTCAATTATATCTAAAAATAAATATATAAAAATAAAATCCATAGCTCCTAGAACCTTTACCTACTAGCTCAAATGTTACATATTTTTTATAATAATATAATAGTTTATAATTGACTTTTATTTTTTTTTTTCAGATGTCATCGACCAAGGGATTCCCTGTTTTCCTGGACATCAGGATTTCGAAATTTTCAAGGGCTCGTAAATTGGGGTTTTTTGCTACTTAGTATAGGAGGTTTGAGACTGGCCTTAGAAAATGTTATCAAGTAAGTGGAACTAGAAACACAAATTATAATCAACATATATTATTTTTTTAGTGTGTATATATTTTTTAAAAATTCTTACATTATCAAAGGATTTATTTAAAATAGTTTCGGTAGTTTTTTGGAATTATTTTCAATATTTTTTGCGTTTTTTGCAGATATGGTATTCGAATCGATCCCATACAATGGTTTAATGTTTTAACAGGACGAAATGAAGGAGGTGCAGATCATCCATCTATTGTTTTAGTTTTATGTAAGTAGAATAATAGAAATATATAATTTATTAAATATATATATATATATATATATATATATATATTGATTTGCATAAATATTTTTTAAATTTATTCATCCGTTACATTGGAAAGTTCAATGCAACAATTTTCACAAATTCAAGGCAAATGCATATGTAAATTTTTATATTTTCTATTAATTAAATATCAAAAATACAAGAAGTGTTTAGATTAAAACTAATTAGGATTGTACAAATATTAACTTATAAGATTGATAAAATAAATAAAATATAATAAAAAATAATAAAATAATATAAAACCAATTACAATATAAATAATTTTAAAACACAATAAAATTTGATTTTTTTAAGTAATTACAATAAAATTAATTTAAATTCAATTGAATTAAATAAAGAGAATAAAAGTTGATATCAATATAATAAAATTATTAAAATTCAAAGAATAAATAAAGTAAAAAAAATTAAATAACTCAAATAAAATAAGATAGAATGAAATAGTATGAAATAATGAAGAACAATACATTATAAAATAATAAATAAAATAAGAACAAATTTTTTAAATAAAATAAAGAAATTCAATAAATGTTTTAAAATTGTTAAAATTATGAAAAAACTAAATTTATTAAAATTTTTTAGAATTTTTAAAAAGGAAATTGTCAAACTTATTAAAGTTATTGAAATTGTTAAAATTATTCAAGATATTGAAATTACTGAAATAATTGAAATTATTGATATTACTTATTGAATAAAATAAATAGAAATTATTAAAATCGTTAAAATTGTTAAAGGAATAAAATTGTTAAAATTATTAAAATTATTAGAATAAAATAAAATAAAATAATTAAAATTACTGAAATAATTAAAATGATTGAATTTGAATTATTGATTTATTAAGATTGTTAATAGCAATTAAAATTATTTATATTAAAAATATAATTCAATTAAAATTATTAAAATTAATTATAATCATTAAAATTGTTAAAATAAATGAAATTAAATTAATTAAATAAAATAAATTAAATTAATTAATCAAATTAAATAAACGAATTAGAATTAAATAAAATAATTAAATTAAATAGGAAAATTAAATAAAAGAGCTGAATTAAATAAAATACAAAAAAAAACAAGATTAAGCGAAAAATATCATTAAAATCATTAAGATCATTAAAATTATTAATATTAATAAAATGACTTGAATCAATAAAATTACTAAAAGGAAGAATTTCCAACAAAATAATAAAATTGATGAATTTAATCAAAATAAAAAAATAAATTGTGAAACTAATACAATTAATATAATAAAATTAATAAAATAAAATACAATGAAATAAAACAAAATGCAATAAAAAAATATTAAAATAACATAGAATATATAAAATACAATAAAATATGTAAAAAAAATAAAATCAATAAAATGAAATAGACTGAAATGAAAGTAAAAATAACTGAAATGAAATAAAAGCAAATACAACATATTATAAAATAAGATATATATTTTTTAATACATTTATAAAATAAAATATTATATAAATGAACTTATTTTTTCAGATTCTGTCGTTCCAGTTGTGATATGTTTGCTTTGTGAAAAAGCTCTGTCAGTTGTAAGTATTAATTTATTTTATATATATATATACATATATATAAATTATTACAAATTTATTTTTTGTAGGAAATTATAAATAATGGCACAGGAATGTTCATACACGTCAGTAACATATTTGCTTTGGTCGTTCTTCCTGTGATTGTTTTGAGCATTAAAGGAAACTCTTTCAGTTTATGTAAGTAAAAATTGAATATATATATATATATATATATATATATATATATATATATATATTGATAATTCTCTGTTTAATATCTTTCTACAACTAAACTCAATCTAGCCATTGAACAACAAAAAAAAACACTAGTTAACCCACATATATAATTTTTAACTTCAAAGCCTATCGGAATAAAACGTTCTGCCATCTACCAATTTATTCACACTAAAGTTTCCTCACTACTAACAAAATATATTTATATGCCACTAATACTATTTTACTAGTCTACTAATCATAAAAGACAGTAATGATAATAAAAGTTTTATAAAATTAATTGTTAAAATTGTGATCTAGTATATATTGGTAAATCTGAACATAATTTTTAAGAAATATCTTTAGTAACTCAAAATTAATTCTAAAAATTCCTAAAATATATAAAACTACATTTTTCTGAACACATTAGCACATTTACATGCTTATATACATTTTTTTTTAACTAGACTATACTACATTACAAAGAAAATTCATTTAAAAGACATTTATTTTTCAAAATAAATAATAGTCGGATATAAACAACGGAAAGAATTTTATATTTTTACAAAGATTCTAACGTATGTGAATCTCAGTAATAATATTTATTTTTCTTTTTTTTATTATTATATATTATGAGCAAAATTTATTTAATCAAAAGACGTTTTGCTGAAGGTTGTTTCATTAAACTATAGGGTCCGCCAAATAAATTTTGTTTTTACAAACTACTGAATATTTTTTGATATTTCTTTATTTATTTGGACAAACCTTTTAGTTAATAATGAAATTAATTCATTTAATAATGATTATAATAATTTCATTCAAAAATGAAGAAAAAAAGTCTCGGCTGAGCGTTGAAAAAATGAAAATGAAAAATGTTAGATGGCATACCCTATACAGAAATAAAACATACTAAATAAACGCAATGATATATTTTGGTGTTTGAGTAATAAAAGTGTTAATCTTATTTTTTATTTTTAGTCGGAGGAACCACAGTTTGTTTCGTGTACGCAATACTGTTTCTCAAACTGTGGAGCTACGTGCACGTAAATTTGTGGTGCAGAAAAAACTTGAAGAGGCCTCGACAGGAAAAAAATAGACAGAGAAGGCAGAGTTTGTCTGTTAGTTTCAGTAAGTAACAAAAATGATATAAAAATAAATATAAAGAAATTTATAGGAAACTAAATGCGGCGCAAACCGAATGTCAAAAGGAATATTCATAATTAATTTTTTTACAGCAAACTAAGTGCGACGCAAGCCGAATGTCAAGACATTTTTGTACTGCTATAAAATAAATAATGTTTTTTTTGTAGATGAAGGTGAGAAAAACGGTTCAGCCAAGTCGTTGGAAAAAGATCCCAAGGGTATTGTGAAATATCCTGATAACCTGAGCCTGAAGGACTTGTATTATTTCCTGGTTGCACCAACTTTGTGCTACGAGTTGAACTTTCCCAGAACATCTAGGTAAAAAAAAATAAAACTAAAAATATTATAGCAGATATTTTTTTTTTAATTACAGCAAAAGTTTTTTATTTGTTGCAATTTTGTTTTAGGATTCGTAAACGTTTTTTGCTAAAACGTCTACTCGAAGTCGTCGTCGGAATTCACGTAGTAATGTCTTTGTTTCAACAATGGATGATACCTTCTGTCAAAAATTCCCTGACACCTTTTTCCACAATGGATATTACGAAAATTACAGAACGTTTGTTAAAATTGGCTGTGAGTAACCAAGGACGTTTCGCAGAAGCGTGTTTTATTAAACTAGATAATTTAAAATTTAATTTTAAATGGTGATTTTTTTTATGTCCAGATTCCAAATCACCTAATGTGGCTGTGCTTTTTCTACTTGACATTCCACTCGTTTTTAAATTTAATTGGCGAACTTTTGCATTTTGCTGATAGGAATTTCTATGCTGATTGGTGGAATGCTAATAATATTGATACGTTTTGGAGGACTTGGAATATGCCTGTTCATAAATGGTAAACATAATATTAAAATATAATGATAAAAAATAATATAATAATATAAGACCAATTACAATATAAATAATTTTAAAATGCAATAAAATTCGATTTTTTATGTAATTACTAATAAAATGAATTAGATTCCATTAAATTTAATAAAGACTTGTGTGCCAACCTTTTTACCAATAATTCTTTCTAAGAAATCTGTTTTATCACTTTGAATCAATTGTATAGACTGTGATTCAATATATGTAGGTGAAATCAGTCAAAATTCAATAAAAACTACTTCCGCAGTTTTGAAACGTAAAATAAAAAATTTTATTCATTTTATTTTTAGGTGTGTAAGACATTTATACATTCCAATAGTCGAGTTTGGTTGTGGAAAGTTCACGGCAGGCATTGTTGTCTTTTTGATAAGTGCATTGTTACACGAGTACTTGGTAAGTAATTTTATTTATTTTTATTTTCATTTATTTTCGCAATGGCTTTGCATGTTATTTTATTATTTTTGAGTACATCGTATCATCCAAAATATTTCCAAAAGTGTTTTTACACATGTAGTGTAGTGGTGTGTTCATTGCTCATTCAACTTTAGTTTATAATATTTATTAGTGCTTTAACAAATGTGCTTTTTCATTAATTCTAACGCAGTAAGTAGATGCATGCATAAGTATTTATTATCAACATCCATCATCATTGTATGTGTTGCATCGATAATATCATATCCAATAGTTTCAAATTATTCATATAAATTGGCTTTTGCTTGGACAAAATCTATTTATTATTATTTTTTTACCAGGAAGTGGTGGAAGCTAGAAACTTAATAATATTACAAACTGAATCTTGGCGTGTTTGATCTGAATATTGTCTTATCCTCATACACTAACTTTTCTGTTTTTCCTACAGATTGTTTTGTTTCTACTACAGAAAGTTTCTGTTTCTCCTACAGAAAGTTTTCTGCTTCTTCATCGGTTTCCTTCCCACCAATAAATTGACTGTTTCTCAATCAATTTTCCATTGGAAAGTTGACTGTTTCTCCATAAGTTTTCTATTGAAAAATTCACTTTTCTCCATCAATTCTTCACGTCAAGTTTGCTCGTCAGTAAAGTCTTTTTTTTACATTTTATATCAAAATCATGTTCGCTCGTTTTGTTTATCTTGTAGTTTGAAATTTAATTTGCTCGTCAGTAGAGCCCCCTTTTGATTTTTCAGATTAAAATTTAATTTGCTCGTCAGTAATGTCCCTTTTTCATCTCCCTGTTTAAAATTTAATTTGCTCGTCAGTAGAGTCGCTTTTGCATCTTCCTGTTTAAAATTTAATTTGCTCGTCAGTGGAGTCCCTTTTTCATCTTCCTGTTTAAAATTTAATTTGCTCGTCAGTAAAATCCCTTTTTCATCTTCCTGTTTAAAATTTAATTTGCTCGTCAGTAGAATCCCTTTTATATATTTTAGTTTAAAATTTGTTTACTCATCAGTAGAGTCCTTTTTATATCTTTCAGTTTAAAATTTAATTTGTTTGTCAGTAGAGTTCTTTTTTAATTTTTAGTTTAAAATTTATTTTGCTCGTCAGTAGAGTTCTTTTTTTGTCTTTTAGTTTAAAATCTAATTCGCTGTTCGTAGAGTTCCTTTTTAAGATTCAAATCAAAATTAAAGTTTGCTCGTCAGTAGAGTCCCTTTTTAACTTCCCGTAGGGTAAGTTATTGTAATGGGCCGAAAATCGGAATTGAAAATTTTTACATTTCTCGACGTTTTGAAGGTTTCTGAACATTTTGGCATACCTCAGAAAAAATGGATGTGTGTGTGTGTGTGTGTGTGTATGTGTGTGTGTGTGTATGTATGTGTGGATACAAATTTCCAGTCACGTTTTAGGGCGCACGGATCAACCGATTTGAATGGTTCAAAAAACATTCGATTCCTATTGATATGGAAAAGAGCTGATTATATTTTGGCAAACGCAGGTCCAGCCGTTTCGGAGATACGGAGCAAAGAGTGCGGAAAATAGAAATCGAATTTTTGAGAGAACGGAGTATCCGATTTGAATGATCTAAAAAACATTCAATTAGTAATGATTGGAAGAAGTGTTTATTAGTTTTTGGCAAAGGCAGGCCCGGCCATTTCAAAGATACGGAGCTAAATATGTAAAAAATGGCAGTTTTTGAGAGAACTAAGCGTCCGATTTGAATGATTCAAAAAACTTTCTGCTTGTCTTAACAAAATAATTGATTTTGGAAAAAAAAAAATTTTGTTCCATTTTTTTTTTTTTTTTTTTTAGTTTTTTGTTGAAACAAATAATTTCAACTTTGCAATTCAGTTTATATAATTCTTATAAATATTAGACAATGTTACAATATTTATAATAATCTATTTGAAAACATTCAGTATTCCTCGAACATTTCGTTACGGTACGGGAAGTTCCAGCAATTTGTCTTAAGGCACGATGCCACCCACCCCACTAGTTAGATCTTAAATCAAAATCAAGTTTGCTCGTCAGTAGAGTCCCTTTTTATTTTGGATGATCCGTTCTCTCAAAAATTCTATTTTTATTTTCTGCACTCTTTGCTCCGTATCTCTGTAACGGCTGGACCTGCCTTTGCCAAAAACTAATCAGCACATCTCCATATCGATAGGGATCGAATGGTAAATGAATCATTCAAACCGGTTGATCTGTGCGCCCGAAATCGTCGATTAATAATTGTCTCCACACACACACACACACACACACACTTCCATTTAGTTCAATTTAGTCCATTTAGTTTCTGAGGTATGCCTTAAAAATGTTCAGATACCTTCAAAACGTCGAGAAACGCAATAATTTTCATTTTCGATTTTCTGCCCATTACTATAACTGCCCTACGGGAAGTTAAAAATTATGAATATATAAATAAATTTAAGGATATGATATATCACATAATGAGACATTTACTTATGGTGATGGATGTATATAAATCTAATACAAAATATATTTATTCATCCCTTTTTTTTCCAGGTGAGCGTACCCCTAAAAACCTTCCAAATTTGGGCATTCACCGGAATGATGGCACAAATTCCTTTATCATTCATATCTCGATTTATGGAAATAAACGTCGGGCCAAGATGGGGAAACATCGTGGTATGGTCCTCCATAATCCTGGGCCAACCTTTGGCCATAATGATGTACTACCACGACTATATGATAACTCATTACGGCGACACATTGGTCAACGGAACGAGTCATTGATAGGAAAAAATAAAGAAAATCCATTTGCATTCCATTAAAATTATTTTTGTATATATTAAATTATAAAGCTAGGTCCAAATTATTGATATACTTAATCATTTATCATTGTCATATCAAAATATTAAACTAGTCGTTTGTTTGTTTTTCTTAGTTGTTAAGTTTTGTATTAAATTATGAAATTATTAGTTTAATATTTGTTGCGATACTTTTGTAAAGTTTATATCGGTTTGTATATATTATTGTAAAAATATAATGAAAGTTACAAATTATGTGAAGTGTTTGAATTTGTCGAATTTGAAATACTCTGCTTGGTTTTAGGAGGCTATGTGCGATTTTTTGAACGTTATGTACGATCTTAGGAGACTAAGTACGATTTTTGGAGACTAAGTACGATTTTTAGGAAGCTATGTACGATTTTTAATAGGCTATGTACAATTTTAGGAGGTTATGTTAGGTTTTTAGAAGGCTAAGTATGAGTTTTAGGAGACTATGTACGATTTTCGGAGGCTATGCAAAATTTCATTTCATTTCAATTTCTAATCAATTTTTGAAGAACTTGTTCGATTTCAGAAAGGCATGTTCGATTTCTAGGAAGATCCGTTTAATTCTGGGAGGCTCTGTGTGATTTTCGAAGGTTCCGTTAGGTTTTGGAAGCCTCTGTTTAATTTTAGAAAATTCTGTTTGATTTTATAGGTATTTGTTTGATTTTAGAACTATCTGCTTGATTTTAGAAGTGTCTGTTTGATTTTAGAGCACTCTGTTGCATTTTAGAACACTCTGTTTAATTTTAAAGGAGACCTGTGTTTGATTCTAGAGGAGTTTGCCCCATTTGAGAAGTCTGTTTGAATTCAGAAGACTCTTGTTAGATTTTAGTTTTTTTGTTTAATTTTAAATGTCCCTGTTCAATTTTAGAGCACTCTGTTTGATTTTATTGCACTTTGTTTGAGTTTTTCAGTTTTGGAGCACTTTGTGCTATTTTGGAGCACTCTGTTCAATTTTAGAGAATTCTGTTTATTGAATCCTATTTGACATTATATGCCTTAATAAATTTTCGAATGGTGTCTTTGATTTCATTGGATTTATTAGATTTTAGAGAGGTCTTTTTGATTTTAAACATCTTTAAAATTTTAATTTTAGAACTCTGTTTTAGCAAAAAAATTGTTTTTTGAGAACTCAGTTCAATTTTAAAAGTCTTTGTCTAATTTTAAAAATCTCTGTTCATTTTTAGAAGTCTCTGTTAAATTTTAGAGCACTCTGCTTGATTTTATTTTTTACACAAAATGTTTTGAACTCTAGTTGAAAATATTACAGTTTACTAACGACTCTATTGCTCATGCAATAGTACAAGTCTTTGCTAAAGCGTGAAACATAGATGGAACAACTATTAAATCTTTTAGATTCATATCATTTGTTTTATTCATTTAAGACTTTTATATTCATTATATAAAATCATTTTGATATGTGAATAAATAATCACGTTGAATACTTACAAAAAATGATAAAGATAACAAAAATATAATCTTACCGGATTATCGATATACATTTGATATAATTGTTATTTTATTAAACGTTTCGACGTACATTTGTATTATGTCATATTTTAAAATATTGTACATAAAGGTTCTAAATTAATGAATTTTAAAACCAAAGTCCATGAATATGTATTTTTAAACGATACAATGGCTTTCTCATGCAACACTTACTTTTATAATATAGGGAAAAAAATGAATGCAGATTCTCTACTAGAAATGGCTAGAAATTTTTTATTGGAAATTCGACGCTCTGCAAAGTTTTTGAAATTTTTTTATGCTGTTTCCATACAAAACTTTGATTGAATAGCGCTCTATCTAAACGTTAATATTAAGAACTAAAGCTTTCAGAGAATTGTTTTTTATCAACTTGGAACCATTTGAGTTTTTGGGAGCAAGGAAATTCGAAAATATCTATATCAAGGACCACCCTAAAATATATATATATATATATATATGTATATATAATTATAATTATTTTTATATAAGTGCTCCGACACCGATGAAGGTCATAAACTTTTCTGTATGGAGTGTGGGATTTTGCTTAGACAAGCACAACGTTTCGTTTTTGTAATACAACACCTTCCTTAGGATAACGCAGTTGCTTCACTCCAAAGCTAATATGACACCGAAATAATATACAATTATAATTATATACATATATATATATATGTATATATATACTTTTATCTATATTAATTATTTAAGTACTAAAAATGAGAATAGATAATTTCAAGTTCGCTACTATTTATAAACGAAGTATTTGTCCATACTACCAAAATGTTGTCATAATTTGTCTAACAATTGCCCTGTAATTACAAATTTCTTTTGTAATTACATTTAATAATAATAATAGTAATATACGTCACTTAAATTTGTTAAAATATCATAAAATAACCTAAAATTTGTTAAATAAAATAATTATAGCATAAAAGTATTATAAAGCTTATTAAAATTATTATTAAATTTTTAAAAAATACTTGCAACAAAGAAACTAGTTATATTTAAAAATAATTAAAATTAACTAAATATAAATAAGTTTATAGTAAATAAATTAAACAATAAATAAATGAGTAATAAAATAGTTAATAGTTAATTAAATTATATTAAATCTGCAAAATATTGACTTGAGCCTTATTATAATATTATTATATCGACGGCTTGTAAAATAAATAAATAAATAAATATTTAATATCTATAAATAAATATCTTATTGAATTATTCTAAGTAAAATTTTGTAGAAATTCTGATCTCTCTAGAAATTGGCCAATATCTTTCTAAAAAAACAACATTTTTTTTATTCAATTTTGCTTATATTTTATTTGGATATTTATTTCAATAAAAATGCACAATAATAATTACACAGTAATTAACAACAATTAATAGGCATACTAAATTAAATATTTTTTATCAACGTTTCAAAACTAGATATGTTCAATCTTCAGAAAAGCTGCATCTTGAAATTATAAAATAAATTTCATAGAGGAATTCATAATTTTCAGAGAAAATTTTTACAATATATTACTTCATGTTTGATTTTGTTTTTATTCAATATATACATTACTCATATTTCAATTTTATTAAATATATTGAAAATTATGCAAGACTTTTCAAATAAAATTTCACATCACGAATTCAAATAGTAAAAAATCTTGAAAATATTTTTATTTTATTTAGAACGAATATTGAGCTAAAATAAACAATTTTTGAAAGTTTTGTAATAATTTTTTTCATGAATGTAATATATACTAACGTGTATTATTTTTTTACATAATTGATTTGCAAGAATTTTTTAACTGTTTTTTTGGAAAAAATTGTTTTCAATTACCTAAGGCTGAATTTTTGATGAAAAATTTATAAAACATTACAGAAAAATGTATATTTAGAATTATAAATAAATTGAGTAATTTGTTAAAATTTGTTAACAAAAGTTTTTTGCATAAAACTGTTTACTTGAAAAAAAAATTGCCAAACTTAAAAAGTTTTTATTATTTATTATACATATTATTACATTATTATTAAAATTGTATTATTTAAAAACATATTTTGTGTTTACTATTCATTTTTTATATTAAAACAAATTGTAAAAAATTTAAATGCGTAGAATTTGAACCAAGACTTTTTCCGCAACATTGCACATAACTAATTCAAATATTGCAAAATTTGAATTATCAAAATTTTGTAAATTAAAAATAATATTAAGCTACTTTTGGAAATTAGAATCAGTAGTTTAAAGAGTTTTTTATAATTATATTATCGACAAAAAGTATTGCGTTAAAATTTTTGCTTGCACTGCAAAAACTTGTATTTCGATTTATACCCATAAATAGTGCAATGACATTAATCGCATCATATCTTGCGAAACTATATATATATATATATATATATATATATATATATATATACATACATATACATAATTATATGAATTAATTACACGTCTGTTTCCCAGTACAGTTTGACATGCCGACCTAAAAATGTGCAACATTTGCAACAAATTCTATTTTATCAATCGCTAAAATTTCGCAATAAGTCGTTTTATCGTAAATTATGATCAAAACTATTGGTTTGTCGATTTTTATTCAAATAATTCCGATAATTAATCGATCGTTCACCCTTTTTTGCGATTAGATTAGAATTTACATCCGTGCTGACACGTGGGAGAGAGATTGAGTTCAAAAAACTTAAAAGTAAAAGAAATTTTCAGAAAAAAAATATGTAAACTAAATTTTCATTTGGTTTTATGACTATTTGGATAATAGCCTACTTATTGGTTGAAGCATGGTTGAAAGAATCATTTAAAAAATGGTAGTACAATATTTTTTGCAAAAAGTTTATATGAATAGTATTGATGATTAATTGATTTATTAGGAATTTTAAAAATTAATTAAGGACTAAATATATATACATATATATATATATATATATATATATATATATATATATATAAATTAGCATAAATTTTCAAGTGTCTAATATTAAATTAAGTGTTATGAAGTGTTCCATCAGAGAGTTCATATCGAACGGATATGAGCAAACAATTCTCCCCATTTTCCCAGTTAGCCCAGTTTGCGTTTTTCGACTACGTCAGCTATAAAATACCCCACAGACCGAAATGTACACGAATATATATATATATATATATATATATATATATATATATATATATACTAGTACACATTTAGCTCTGTGCGGCTCAGAGACGTGGACTCTAAAAACGTACGATAAAAATTATGTGGAGAGCTTTAAGTTCTGTGATTATTTCATAATTTAATAAATGTTTATATTTAAATCACTTTCCTTAGGCCATTATATATTTAAACATATTTAAACATATTCGACAAGGCCGTGAATTCTATCACTATGTAACGCTATAAGTCCATAAGTTCTATCACTAATGTAAATATGTGTACAACCGTTTTTTGAGAAAAAAATGATTAAATCATTAAAAGATATCAAATTTGGTCTCAGTGATTTCAAATTATTTCGAAAAAACAAAAAATTTGCAAGTTAAATTTCTTATGTATTTTTACATATACT